ATCTTTATTGTTTTTGTTGTTTTTCTTTTTCTTTTAGATAATTCCTTAATTGAACTTTATTACTATCATTCATAAAATTAATAAGGCATTACACAAGGTTAATCTGAAATTTTTTATGTTGTTGTATAAATTCTAAAGTTCTGATAATAAAATATATATTAATAATTGCAGTATTTAATAATAAAAAAAAAGCAGCATCTAATTACATTATGCAGTTTGCTAGATGTTAGAATAAAATTACAATTGATTAGCAACATTTATAATATTTATATTATAGTTGTAGTTATTGACTATTTTGAGAATATTTAATTTTTTTTTGAACTCAGATTCAAAAATTGTATGCACCTTTATTGTATTGATATTTGTTTTTCTTGGCCTTTTTCCTTTTTACTTTACTTTTTATTCTTTATCTAAAAGATTATAGATTATTGATAACATTGTAATTGGCCTATTATCTTGTTAAAAAATTGCTAACATAATATTTAGTACAACATTTAAATGAACATCTCAATTCAGTTTAATATTTTTATCTATTTATAGTTCTTTTAAAAATATAGCTAACATTTTTCAAACAGTTTTACAAGTACCAACTTCTATTTAGTAAAAATACTAAAAAAGAAAATTATTGCTAAAGCAATTATTTATATAAATATTGTAAGAAAATTGTTTATATAGAAGCTGTTTAGTAAGATAACAAATTAAAGAACCAACTTGACTAAAACTATTCTTTTTTTAATATTATTTTTAGCAATACAAAATGTTAGTAAAAAAGTATAAGTGTACCTAGCTTTATAAAATGAAAAAATTTTAAAGCTCTCTAAAACAGATTCATTCTTTATTTGGACTATGTAGATGTTTTATTTAAAGAACTTATTATCATTTCATTTACTAAAATATTTGAGTCTAAAATATAATATTATGAATATTTGAAATTAATAGTTCTAATTTTTTAAAATAGTTTTTAATAAAACTAAAAGAAGAAATAACAGAAACCCAATGTCATTTGCTTTGATATTTGGTAAATAAGAAGTTTCAAATTTTCATTCTAATATTGATTAAGAAATAATATTATAAAAAATCTCTAATAAATAATAAGAGTAATCTATACAAGAAACTCTTTACAGATAACATTTTTCTGATGCTGATTAGTAAAACCAATACTATTTATTTCTGTATATTTATTTGTATTTATAACTATTATATTAAATATAAAAATTGAAAAAAATTGACCAGTTTGAAAACACCAATATTAAGATATGATATAACTAGATACTTATATGATGCAACAGACTTGAATAAACCAATAGTTCAAAGCTAGGTAATGATAACAATTTTGAAACTACTTTGTGTTTATTTTGTACAGACATATTTAACATCTGTTATATTATCTTCATCTTCAACTTCACTATTTAATTTTGAATTATTTAAAAAATATTGTTAATATATTAAAATTAGTATATATTCTTCTTTATCAATATATGTCTTTATATTTCTGAAATAAGACAACAACAATAATAATAATAATAATGATAAATTTGTAGATGACAATGAAACACTCAACTTATTTGTTGTTAAAAACATAAAGTTTATTTTTTTTTTTCTTAATGATCTAATAATTATTTTATATAAAATAATTCTGTATAAATGATTATCAATTTTGTGAATGATTGTCAATTTTGTGTAAACATTTATAGATAATATGCATAATACATCATAATACAATAAAAACAAGAATTAATTGATAATAATTCAAACTTTAATTTTAACTTAAGAAAGTAAAGAGTAAGGCTTAAAAAAATTTGAAGCAAATAAACAAAAACAGTAAAAAAAAAATTTAAGTGGGCAAATTTGCCCGCTTAATGGGTTTAAGGGATAATATTAAAACTACCTATAAAAATTTACTGTTATTTGACAATCAATAGCAAATTAACCAATAATGTACATAATTTGATGAAACATATAACATGATCAGAAAAATTTGTTATTTTGAAATTTGAATAAGAAACTACCTTTTGTGCTTTAACAAAAAAAATTCCTTGAGCAATTTTACTATAAACCTCACTAATGCTTAGTTTTATTAAAATACTAACTCTAATCTAAATAAACTTTAAAGAATTTTTGATTGTTATATAATGCTAGAATTTTTATGATGATGCTAGGAAAGAGAAATTGACAAGATGCAGAATTGATTTTCTGTTTATATGACTTCTGAATATAACTTTTGAAAACCTCTGATCATGAGACTACAATATATTACACTAATTTTTTTTTCACAATTTGACTCATTTTCTTTGAATATATTACTTAAAATTACAAATTTCTTGGATATTACAGTATTAAAAAAGACCAATATATCAAAAAAATATATGCTTATTTATAAACATATTTTGGATAGTTTGCATACAAGCTAAAAAAAAAGCCTTTATTCAGTTACAGACTGTTCAAGCAATTTATTTGTTTGATACTAATACAAGAAACTTAAAAAGACATTGCTAATTTTTTTATCTAACTACGTAACATTTAATAATAATATATTTATTTGTTATAAATATAAGGTCCAAAGCTTTAAACTACTCCAAGTTGTATCACAAAGCCTTTTATTTTTTGCTTTATCTATGTCTTTAAGAATGATAAAGGCACAGTCTAAATTATTAACTATTGCTTCTATATGATTTAAATTATTTGCTGACTATTCTTTATTTATATAATCAATTAAGCAGTTTAGTTCTGTAATTTTAAATTTAACTTTCTCATGCCTTTCAATATATTCTTTTTTATAGGTAGTTTTTTTTTCATGGTCATCTTGATCAAATGTACTAATCTAATTATGCATATCTAAGCTTTCTAGATTTTTTAATGCATTTTCATTTTTATTTCAGATCAAAAAAAGATAGTCTGTTTGCTATTTAAAGTTTGAATAAATTAGTCAAATACTTTGTAAAAAGTTTTCTGCTTTTTTAAAGACTTTATAGATCAAGTATTTGCAAATGAGAAAGTGACTACAAAAAAATAAAAAACAGTTGCAAATCCAGCATGTCAAATCAATATAGTAGCATTTTTCAGTTTCATTAACTGGCTTTGCAAAAAGGTTTTTCCATTCTGCTTTAAAATCATCAAACCATGGCAGTATTATTCTGCCAATTTGCAATTGCTGAAGTCTATTAATTTGATCAGATAAGACATGCGAACATATTACCTAAAAAAGATAGTTAAAACATAGATGATTATATTGATAAAGGTAAGAATGCTTTAAGACTTTCCAATGGGCCTCAATCATATTATTTGTTTTAGCAAATGATATATCTTTTTGTATAGAACATGCCTAAAGACACTATCAGATTTTTTTATACCAGGCAGGTCATAAATATGACCAAAGAATTACGAGACCATTTGTAATGCAAAATTCATACATTCACAAACTAATCCAGTTCTTATTTCTGAAGGTAATAAGAATTGTCTATTAGCATTAACAGAAATTTTATAATGCATCTTATAATATTTTCGAATAAGATCTATAATAGTTCCTTGCAAATCAGGTAGCTAAACAATATAATATTCTTTATCCTTTTGCTGTAAATTAGGTATAAAAGAGGAATTAACAAAAGAAAATTCTTTCATAACTTCTTAATGTTTATAATTTGTATGCTGAATTCTATTACAGCTTCTTAGTTTTTTTTAATTGCTTCTTCAAGATACCACAGACACAGTTGTATATCACTATTCAGTCATACATTTTTTGTAGCATTTATCTGTATGAAATCTTTATCCATATAAAAATAAATTAAATTTAAATCTTTATTACAAATAGCATAAAAAAAGCTTGTGAGAGCTTCTGTTTACAATTCTTCTTAAGTTTCATTGTTGAAGACCTTTGTTGTATCTAAAATAAGGTAACCCAATGAAAATCCTATACCCTTAACATTACCAATAAGTCCATAAAGTTCAAAATGCTCCTTAGCCATTTTATATGTAGCATTACAATGTATTTCTATTATATTTTTTGTTAGAACAAGTAAAGGTATAGTAAAACCAATAGCTGTTACCTATTTTGTTTCAAGCTAAAAACACAAGTCACAACTACTTTTCTGTTACTGTTCCAAAAATGCATATGCAGAAACAACATGTCTTTATTATATTTATAGAATTGTTAAATGTAATATGACCACCAGTAATATATTTGTTTTAAGATAATGTATGATAGATCAAATTTTTTGTGAAGATATGATCATAAATATATTGAAGTCATCTCCAAATTTTCTTTTATTTCTTGCTTAACCTCTGATGATACTGTAATGTCAATAGGTTTATTATACATAAAATTATGTTGTAATGTTACTTTCACTTCTGCTACTAATAAGTTTACTTTTATAATTAATCTGCCCTTGCAATCAAATCGATCAATTCTTTTACGATTTGAATCCACATATTCATATTTAATCTCATTACTTTGTAAATATACAAAATAAGTATTACCAATATTCTAATAATGAGCTGAAAGATTTGGAGCAGTTGTAATACTACAATTGAATACATTAGGTATAAATTTTATTTATTCATTTATTATTATTTAATAAGTTATGCTTATATCCAGTTATAGCCATCACCTTCTTTGATTTCATTAACAATTAACTTAACCATTAGTTTAACATTTAGATCAGCAATGCTAAGTGTATTTTCATCAAGTATAATGCAAAAATTAATAGGGTTTTTATTTTGCTCTATGCTATCAGTTATATAGTTACTAATTTGGTTAAAAGAAATTTTTTTTATAGGAATGTCTTCAACATTAGCATTTTCAACTTTCTTTTCTGTTTTAGTAATCAAACATTTAATACATGGTTTGTTGCTTTTACTATCAAGTACAAAGGCATTAAAAGATAGCATACATGAACAAGAGGTGCAAAATATCATATTTATTAGGTATCAGTTTAGTTTTTACTAGTATTATAGCGTTACTAATAATTTTATTAAGCAATAAGAAACTTTACTATTATTGTAAGATGGAGATGAAGATGTTTAAAGGTAAGTATTTGATTTTTTTATGTATTGAATTTGTTAAAGCACTTATTTATTTATTTTCTCTTTGTTTCAATTAAACTTTTAATTAATTACGACATTTATTATGCTTACGGATATTATATTTTACTTTACTATTTGTATGTCACTAAGTTCATCGTCACAATTAGATCATAAAAAGGCCTAATTAGTTGTACAGCTCAATTCAAAGGATCATTCTTTATACAGATTGGAATTTTCTATTATTTTGTATACAGCTAATTTAAAATTTGATATTCATTTAATATGTAATATCTTATTTTTCAGAGAAACGAAGTATTTATTTGAATTAATTAGCAAATTAGATGGTACGTTCCACTAGTTTTGATATTTTGAAATTTTGTTTTTGATTTGAATTTTTACTCAAATAACTTATACTTTAATTATTAAAGATCACTATCAAAATAAGCAAATATGAATAATTTAAATAGGCTATTTACTGCTACATTTATGATCTTTGATAAAAAGGATAAAAATAAAGGATTCAAAAATCTGCAAAAATGATATAGTGTATCACTGGCTGTTAGCAAAGGCAAGTAATTTTAATAAAATTTAGAAATCTATTTGTTACTATATGGGATTGGTGAAGAATTAATAATTTGCTTCAAAAGTAAGCCGTTTACTAATTTTTTTTTTATAATTCGAAAATTTATCTTTTTAAATAATATTCTTTTCAATTTGTTCAATATTTCGGAAGTATAATTATTGATTCATAAAGGTTTTCTATATAATTTATTTAAAAAAAAATACTTTCGCCCTTATGTAAATTGATTCGTTTAAAAATAAAATAATAATAATCATACTAGTAATTGTTTTAATATCTTATGAGCCTTCAAACTGAAATTAGTAACTGTTTAATAAGTGTAAAATTGGACATCTTTATTGTATTGTAGCTTATTCATTTGTTATAGCGATAACGATAATGGAGTTTTTATTAAGGATCGAAATGTATGCACAATGTAGATCACAGATCGGAAGTCACGTGAACGGAAAATCGATCCTAAGCCCTGGCATTGTCCTGGGGAAGATAGAACGTAACGTTTACTTTACAAAAGTCAAGAATTGTTTGCTGCACAAAATAAACAAAAAAAGATCATACTTTGCTTAGAAGATGAAACACGTCATTGTCTATTGGATATATAGTTAGCTGATTAAAAAAAGATATTTCATAGATGAAATGTTTTTTAATAATATTAAATTTTATTGCTAATTGCACAACTTTAGCAAATATAAACTTATTAGATGAATGGTCTGTGCTTAAATTTATTTAGTTTCTAAGTGTTTGAGTTTGTTGATCATAGATGTTATAGTCTACAATAAGTTCGATTTAATAAATTTTCTATGTTCTATATACAGTAACAGATTCGTAATTGTAAAAAATAATGAGTTTGAAAATCATTTAATTTGGTTGGCTAAATTGGTGAATTTGAAGGTTGTGAAACATTTATGGTAATTAAATCTAGATAGTGTAATATACCATTCTGTCAAAACCATTTTATAACGATAGCTTCAGTTTGCGCCTTTTTTTTAAGCGGTTAAAACAGAACACGTGAATCGCTTGGGCATACCCGATACATTACTTACGATTTATCGATCATCCGATCGTCTCGTGATTGAAACGCTACCCGGTTTTAACCCCGTAAACGTCTTGCGCTTTAGGTCCATAGAAATGTATCAAGAATTATACTTGATAAGAATCCCAAAGGAACACTTACCTGCAACTATTTGCAATATACTGGTTAAACCCGGTGATAAAATCGAAAAAACTCAATCGCTACTTAGATACGAATACGTAAAATTAGCCAAAAAAGAAAACATTGATCCAATGACGAAAGAACAAATTCAACTTGATGTAGACACTCCTTTTGTCGAAGAATTAAAAAGTCCCACCGAGGGTGAAATTCAACAAATTTTTGTCAAAGATGGCGAGAGTATATTCGATACGGAGTATGTCTACCTTTTTTTATTTAATATTTTCTTTAATTATGTGATATCATTATTTATACCTTATTTTTAGTGACAAAGCTGTGATTGGTGTGAAAGAGCCGTGCGTTCATTCAATTCAGATTCATGGCCTGTGTGCATTATGTGGTAATGATATGATGAAAACAGATTTTACTGGTGTTGATTATTCTCAAAGAGCTACTATTAGTATGGCTCATGACGTTGCTGGATTAACTGTTAGCCTCAATGAGGCTGAAAGATTAGAGAAAGAAACCGCGGCAAGACTATTGAAATCACGAAAGTTGTCTTTAATAGTCGATTTAGATCAAACTCTAATTCATGCAACCGTGGAATCAACAGTAGATGAATGGATTAACGATGAAAATCATATTAATAATCCTACAATTCAGGACATTCATAAATTTGTTCTATCTGATAGTCCAACGGTTTATTATATTAAACTAAGGTTTTTTTTCTTTTATCATTTTTATTTATGTTCTTCATTTTTTTCATGCGTAACTAAATTTTTAATTGGTAATTGTTCATTTAAATTTTTAGACCACATCTTAAAGAATTCTTAAAAAGTGTATCTGAATTTTATGAACCTCATATATATACCATGGGAACGCGTAATTATGCGTCCTCCGTTGCTAATATAATTGACCCTGTCCAAAAAATATTCAATGAACGAATATTATCTCGTGATGAAAGTAGAAGTAAGCAGTGTTATAAGTTAAACATTCACATTATTTATCATCCTATTTTACAAAGATCATTCGTAATATATTACTGTATTAGATATAACTCAAAAAACTATACGACGTTTGTTTCCTTGCGATGACTCCATGGTCGTTGCAATTGATGATCGAGCTGACGTTTGGGGTTGGTCGCCTAATCTTATAAAAGTTCACCCTTGTAAATTTTTTATTTATAATTTTTAAACAAATTGTGATTATATTATTAATTTACATTCTGAGCCAATTTTTCTAATGGTAACTAAAATAAATTATATAGATGATTTTTTTGTGGGAATTGGTGATATAAATGACACCCGCTTTTCAAAACAGGTAATGAACTTGCTTATTTACAAAATTTGGTTAATTTGTGTTATAATATATATATAATTTTTCTTTTTTTTTGTGATATTTCATTGTTATTTCACTGTCATTTTCTGCTATTTTCATTTGTTATTTCATTGGTTATTTTCATTTGCTATTTTCATTTGCTATCTTCATTTGTTATCTTCATTTACTATTTCATTTGCTATTCTCATTTGCTATTCCCATTTGCTATTTTCATTTGCTATTTTCATTTGCTATTTTCATTTGCTGTTTTTACTGTTATTTTCACTGTTCATTATAATAATTTAGCCAAAACCAACTAGTGTCCCAACCAGCGTCCCAACTATTGCCACGCCAGAAGAGAACAACGTAAAACATGAAGAAGGTAATATATATACAACCAATCGTGATACTTAAAAGATAGAAATGTTTATGGCACTATGAACCTTAAAATAGTTGAAAGCGTAAAGCCAGTCCTTGTTGATAATGATACAGAATTACCAAACTTATTGAAGGTATTCATTCATTAAGTTATTTGTTAAAGAAATATATTTTTTTTTAATATTATTATTTATAATCCTCAGGCATTGAAAGCGATTCATAAACGGTATTACGATGAGTATGATCGAATGCAAAGTGATTTACAAACTAACGGAAAATCAAAGATGCCAGATGTAACTGTGCTAGTACCTAGTATGAAAGCTGAAGTTTTGAAAGGAGTTAATATATTATTTACACACGTTATTCCAACCAGCCAAAAGAAGGAAAGGTTCATTTATTTCATATCTTATATCCATTTTTTTTATATAACTTTGAAATGCTATGATTATTTAACATTATTCTAATTATAAAATCCAGTGCTGAAATATGGATTTTAGCCAAAGAATTTGGTGCAGTGTGTTCGGAAAATTGGAACAATGATGTCACCCATTTGGTGGCAGGTGATGTAAGTTATATATATATTTTTTAAATTTATTTAAAATAAATAAAATTAACTATTCTCACATAAATATATAGCGTGGAACTGAGAAAGTAAAAGAAGCAATTCGAAGAGGTAATATATTCATCGTGCGCAAAGAATGGTATGTAATTTAAATACTTTGAAATAAATAATTTCTTATAATGTTTTTATATCTCATAATTTTATGTTTTTAATAGGTTGCATGATTCTATAAAAAAATGGGAGAGACAACCCGAACGTGATTATTTTTTTGATACATCTATTCGAGAATCGGAATCAGAGCAAGTGTCTGAAATAGAGAAACCTCCTGATTTGATCGTTGAAACACCGGTTAATGAAATTACTGATGATGAAGGGTTACTAAGTCCACAGGAACGTCAAGAACATTTTTTATCGACTGATTGGAAGTCTATCTTATGTGAGGTCGAGGAAGAAATTGGCGATTGGGGTGACACAAGTGCTCTAGACGAAAGTGAAACTGAAAGTGGAACTGAAAGGTTTTATCCTTTTTTAAAAAAGTTTGCTTTGTTTCATAGCACATACTTAAATTTTCGACTTCTTTTAGTAACGGACGTATAAAGTTAAAACGGAATAGTAGTGAATTAAATACTTACGAACAGAGTGCTAAGCGTCTTAAACATTCTCCACTGCGACATGCTATAACATTTGATGATTATGATGACGACGAAGATTCTAATACAAATGTTCAAGTGCTTGGCACAGATGGAGAGCCTATCACATACTTTGAATCATCAGAAAATTATTACCAGCATTCAGAACATCAAATAGACGATGAACAAGATGAAGATAGTTATGATTATGATGCTGGAAATCAAAGTGATGACGAAGAAGAGGATGATGATTCCGATGAAGAATTTGTACATGATTTTGAGGAATTCCTAAAGGAAGATCAGGATGATAGTTCGTTGACTAAATAAATTTTAACTTTCTTGTAAATATATATTTTTAACTGTTTTCTTTTGTGTATATTTTTTTTAAAATTATTATTTCGTATATACCTTAATTATAAGGACTGCGATAATATCAGTTTTTAATAAACCTAAACTATAACTGCTAGTATAATTAGTTTTTAGTTTTATAGTATAAATGTATTAAATATAAAAAAAAAGGTAATATAAAAAAAAAAATGCAAATAAAAACTAATATTTACAATAGATTATTTTTAGTCTTAAATTTACATTATTTTTTTGAATATTAAAAACAAAATTATAAAAAAGAAAAATAAATTACTAAACTTTATAGTACGTATACTAGTTTTTAAATTTAAATTTAAATTTTAATTCTAAATACAAAGTTTTACAAAAATAAATAAAATTTTTTTTTTTTTTTAAAGAGAGGTTTATCTTCTATCTCTTTATTAATTAGTTAATTTATATATATTGGAATACATGTTGAAGAAACTAAGCTAGAGAAGATGGAGATAAGAGTTACTTTACTCTTAACCTATTTTTTGATAGAATGGTCAGTAAACTTCTAGTTTTTGATAAGGTGATAAAGAGAAAATTGTTCATTGATCTGCGGTTAATAGTGAAGTGGTTATGCTCTTATGTTACTAATTGCAAGGTTGCTAGTTCAAGTCCAATAGGAGACAAAAACTGAGTTAGAATCACAATTGTTGATTAATTACATCTAATAATGCATTATGAAAATAGGAAGATCTTTGGTACTCAGATTCTTAAATAGTGATGGACTTGACATAAGAAGATCACAATGATTAGAAGGCTGAAGATAATAATAGAATAAAGGAATCTCTAATTAGAAATAATCCTGATGAAATTTTAGGATAATAGGAATACAAAATTAATATATAGATAGTACTGTAAATGTATATAAATAAAAATATAAAATATAAAATATAAGCAGAGTCCTAATAGAAGATCTTGTGAACTTGAAAAATTTGAACTAATAAAACAGTTGTTAGTTGTGATTTACTAGCAACTATGTAGTAGAAAATTAAAAAACAAAAAAATCTATTAGTAATATAATACTGTATCTTTTCATTTAATATTAATAGTAAGTTGGTTTAGTTTTAGCTAATATTGAAGATTATAATAATGATGGGATTGAAAAACTGAATCATATTGTATTGTTCTAAAAATAAGTCAAAGTTCTTTATATATTGTGATAATAATATTATGATATATAAAAAGAGTGTATTTATTTTTTTCTTGTTATTTTTAAAAAATATTAGTATATTAGTAGTTATTAGTTCTAGTGACATATACTTGTTAATATAATTCAAAGCAAAGACTGAATAAAATTGTTTATATTATAATAAAATATTTTTAGGTCATTTAAGGTTTTTTGTATTGCATCTTTTATCAAGATTGTAAAGTATATATAATTCTAGAAGCAAAAGATGTATTATATCTTCAGATATATTATAATACCTTAAACAGAAATAGTTTGAATATTTGTTAACATTTTCCTAATAAAAAAAAAATGAGTAGGCAGTTTTTTTGATAATAATTTAATTTTAAAGTTTTTTAATATTAAAGAAAAAGGATTAATCACTAAGATTAGTGGTTTCTCTTTATATAATATATATTGTAAAGTTAGTAATTAGTTAATATTGTTTTATAAAGTATGTTATTAAAGATTTGTAATTTGTTAAACTAAGTCATTCTGTTTATAATTCAATAAATTTGTTTCAAAGTAGTTTTTAACAAATATGTATAAGAATTTTCAAGAAGATTTGGAACAAAGCAATTATATAAAAATTTTTGTAATATGAAATCTAATAAAAAGATATTATTTTAAGTTTGAGGAATTTGAAGTTCTTTGTCAAATATAACTGTAAGAATTTGTTTATATATTATTACTTTTAGTATTAAAAAGAAGTAAGTATGTTGTTGTTTGTCTAAACTAAAATAATTATATGATTAAACTAATTGTATGAAAGTAATTATATTTACAAGTAAAGAGTTGTTAGTATATATTTTTGTATTAGTATTAGGGTTTATTATAGTAATTACAAAGATTAGTAAAGCTATTAATGTGTTTAAATAAGAAAGTCGGAAATAAGTAAAACAACTAAAGAAGGTATTAAGGTATTGAAAACAATAACTTGCAATTATATAAGAGTTGTTTTTTATATTGTGTCAACTATCTGTTATATATAATGTTATTGTTTATTTGTTAAAATTGTTTTTTATTAGTGTATTCTAAATTGATATAGAAAAGTTATTAAAGAAACATAAAGATTTAGCTAAGACTAAATACATTTTTTGTTTTTGTAATTGATTTGTTATTGGTAAGATTAAAGTTAGTATTTTGTTAAAATTATTAAGATCAATATGAATTTTTTTTTTATAGTCTATTTGAAGATTATAAATAGGTTTTGTAATATTGAAGTAGCAGTATTTAGAGACATATAACTTATTTTTTAAAATGCATTTTTGGCAGTCTGTTAAAATATTATCCAAGTATAAATTATAGTGTTGAATTTTAAGATACTTATTAAACAAATTGTGAATTTTTCTACAAATTAAATTTTTTGTAATTATCTAGTCTTTTTTGTTAAATATTCAATTAGTTAAGATATATGAGTTTGATTTTAAGAGCATTAGTAATGAGTTTGCTAAAACAGTTATTAGATTATATATTAAAAAAAACTAATAAGAGCATTGACCTTTAAATATTTTTTTAATATTGTGATAAAAATTGTTTTATATTAGCAATTCTGTTTTTATTAGTTTAGAAATTGTTCAAAACTTATAATATTGTAGTTGTTTAATTTTTCTTTAAGATATGAGGTTTTAGAATAATTTGTAAAAAGTTAATTTATAAATATTCTAATAAACATTTTTTTTTTTTTTTTTTTTTTTTGGAGTTAAGGTGAGGTCATGCCTCAGGTCTGTTTATTCAAACATATTGTTAC